AGCGTGTGTGGGTAATCGGCACACTAACATGGACTAGTATGAGTGGCAAAGGGTGACTTAATGCACCATATGATGTTGTCGTATGCTAAAAACCGTCAGTATCAACACTTAATTTGGTGAGTGCATAATTATTTTAGTTTCAAGTGTTTACATTCGTTTCATCAAAATGTTTGTTGTTGACTAGTGAAAATGTTTGCATCATTCCCAGAAAATCCTATGTTTTCTACATTAAATGAAAAGTAGTCTTCTACCAAGACTCAACTATTTGTATGATCTGTTTTCTTGAAAATAGTGTAAAATGTATGTTTGTACTTGAAATAGTATAAATGTATGTTTTCCATATTTGTAAAACTATCTTTACTCGAAAATAGTATGCATTTCTCATGTAAGAATATCATTGTATGAATGTTATGGAAAAATGAAGATTAACAGTAGTATGATATAAAATACACTACTGGTGCATTAACTACCTTGAAAACCAACTGGTTAATTAAGGTTAAAATGTGATTAGTTATAACCATGCTTGATAGACTAGTATAAAGCACGACGTTTCTTCAGGCATCGATAATGGTATGACATTTCTCACCCCTAGACATATAGGTCCCACTTTAGCTAGCAGCAAGGTGTAGGATGGTAAATCCCGTATAGATCTATACACTAACTCACACTCTCCCTCCAGGAGACTTTGTTACAAAATGTGACATAGAAAGAGTATTGCTTTGCCATGAAATAGTATCTCACATTTTAATTTTCTTGTTTTCGTTATAGTATGTAAGTTCTTTCTTGTTCTTGTAAATGAATAGTATGCTTTGTAATGAATAGTAATAGTATGTATGTATTGACTCATATATTGTTTCTCTATTCTAGCTACAATATGTAGTGATACTCAAAACTATACCTATTATAGTTTACTAGTATGTTTGTTTGAACTGTTACTGATTTTTAGAAAAGACTCAATTGACTAACATATGCAACTGAGTTAAGTATATTCCTTGAAAATGAGGTTTAATATTCAGGCATATACAAGGTTGTAAAACTCATTACTCGGTACGTATTCAACCGACTACCGAGTAGCAAGTACTCGGGAGTACTCGGGGAGTACTCGGATTTGGTAATTCATGTAGAAATATTTTTAGGGAAATTATTTATGTTAAAATCATCAATTAAAATCAAAATTTGATTGAAATATATAACAAAATTAGATACATGTGAAAACACAAAAAAAGAAAAACGCATAATGGTATCACTTCGTGAATAATTGTTGTATATTTAAGATATATATGTAGTAATAATCACATGTGTGTGTGTTAAATAATAAATCATTAAGTATATTAGACATATTAATCATCGAGTTGATCAACTTTTACAACACTGCTCAATTCAGTAGAGGGTCGCTCGGGGAGTACTCGGGATTCTACAATTCGCCTCGGTAAGGGGCCGAGTAGCGAGTACTCGGAGGAGTAATCGGACGACTCGATGGGTTTTACAACACTGGGCATATATTTAGCAAGTATAACTATGATTTAACTGACAGTCGGACTAGTAATGCTACCCTAAGCCCACAACCAAACAAGGAACAGGAGTTACGGTATTTAGGAATAGTCCTAAGTCCGTTAAAGCATACTTATACATAAATATGTACACGAATATGATTTTGACATAAACAGAAATCTAAAATTAGTTAAAAAAGAGTTTTAGAGTGATTTTAACAACATTTGAGCATAAGAAATCCTTTTTTTGTTGTTTCCACATGCAAATGATTAACACAAATAAATAATGTTCTACTTGTATTCTCCCCCTAAAAGCATTTAAAAGAGTAAATTGTAGGGGTATGAACACACCTTTTAGGAGTGATCCGATTGAGGGTTTGATATAGGATGATTGTTTTGACGTGCTAGCTCCTGGGACAAAACAAGTCCTAAATAGCAATTCCCACGATATATATAGGCATGAAATTAGTGAATATAACATCAAAGGTTCTAAGGAAACAACCTAGGATGTAAGAATCACTTACAGTAGAATCGTTAGAAGTGAAATCAAGCAACTGCTTGGGGTTCACGGCTAGCCTTCTGTATTTATGGCCGCACACGTTTCATGACCACTTGAAGGTTCACGTGTTTTCGGCCGTAAACTTAGATATGATGGCGATTAATTGACGAAAAGAAGAACACCAGATGTTCTTAAGGAGATTTGAAGGTGAAACAAATGAACTTCAGGTGATGGTTGAGAGAAACTAGGAGTTTTCGGTTGAAGATCTTGGGAGAGAAATCTTGAGTTTTCAGCCAAAAGTGTAGAAGTGAGAAAATTTCCGGTTCAACATATATATATATATATATATATATATATATATATATATATATATATATATATATATATATATATATATATATATATATATATATGGGAGAGTTTGTGGTCTGAAGGAGTTCACGGCCGCGAACTGAAGGTTTAAGACTGTAACCCGTTTGCGGTCCGAACCGTTTGTGGTTCGAAAGATTACCGCCCATCGAGGGTTTGTGGCTCATGAGAAGGTCCTTGGTTTCAAATGATTTCCCTCTAAAACACATAACATCAAAGAATATTTGGTTTATACACCTATAACGCATCAATCTAACTATATTAAGATAAATAAAGAAATAAGTTGACCGTTATTGGATAAGTTTGACTTTTATAAGATTGAAATTATGGGTTGTCACACCTTAGCCCTAATCTAGCATGCAATTCAAATATCAAGCATACTGATAATAATACATAAGTAAGGGTAATCTAGTACCACTTACGTGAGCTCAGCTAATTATATGCATGACACCTATTTTTCTTAGTAAAAATCTTGTTAGAAATTCAATTTCTTTTTCTACTGAAAATATTATAATTTCCTTAGTTTGAGTTCTGTCATGCCCGAAAGTGTGCCCAAATCCCTCAAACCAAGGCTCTAATACCAACTTGTTGTTGGATTAGGTGTCTAAGATCATAACTATAATTGGTATACCCTTGAATTCATAGTAGCACAGTCTTTTTAGGTTGCCCTCAAAACTAGCAACCGGACATGATGACTTATGGAAAAAAGAGGTTGAATTTATTATTTGATTAATAAATTAAAATAAATTATTGGTTAATATATTATGGAAATAATATATTACTTATAAATAGCTATATTTAAATAATATTTAATCAAAAATTAATTGGAATTAATTTTGCGATTAAAGGAATTAATTAAAAGTGTAGGGGCTAAAGTTAAATTGTTCACTAGTTAAGCATGAGGTTCCAGAACCTTCCAAGGGAAGGCTTGGACAAAATTTATATAGATAATCTATGGTTTCTAGATTATCGCATGTAGATAATTAAGGAGGTGGATGATTACCAAATTTGAATTAGTAATATTATATTCAAATTAGGGTTATTCAAGGTTTCCTATCTACAATATAAATAGACTTTCATACCTTAGGGTTTTCGGCCAACTAATGCCTTAGTGGAATATCCAAAATTCCTAGGTCTCCTTCTCCTCTCTCCTCTCTCATCCCAATGCTAGTGTTGGGTGTGAACCATGGCGCGACATTTATGGTGCTTGCTCTCTAAGCTTTAACAACACAATGGTTTATTGTTGTTCATCAACAACAATCAAATGTATGTTTTCTAACCCTAGATGCTAATTTCAAAAATAGTATAGGATTCTTAAGGTTTCCTAATTAATGTTCAAATGTTGTACGTTCAATTAGAGAAAACATAGATCGGGAAATAGTGTTGCATACACACATAAGTTTTGTTTGTTATGTTCAAAACTCATCACTTGTAACAACCCAAAAATCGTGATAAATTTTTTCATTTAAATATCAATATTTTCAAGCACCAAATAGGTCCAAGTCAATAACAATGTATAATATCCAAAACATCAGAGTAATAGTATCCCAAAAGTGCAAAAATCATGAGGGGAGGATGTTGTGCCATCACACCAGGCTCTTCCCTTTTGTACCAGAAGTACCTGAAATCATAAACAAAAACTGTAAGCATAAATCTTAGTGATTTTCCTCAAAATACTACATACCAAACATATAAACTAGACCTAGCCATGGAGTATATTCCAACCCAATAATACAAATATGGTCCTATCCCTAGGGCCTCGCCCTGGGGTTTATTTTAACCCGATCATACGATAGTGGGACCCGCTTAGGGTTTATTTCAACTTGATCATACGATAGTAGCCCCCTCATGGGGTTTATTTCAACCTAAACATGACATAATAGGCCCAACCCTGAGGTTTATTTCTACCCGAACATGTCATAATGGTCCCCGCCCTAGGTCGGCATTGGTGCCTTCGAACCATGGATACAGTAAGGAGACTCACCTCAACAACAGAAGAAATAGTTTAAATAATACGCTGCTCCGAAAACCAACTCTACCGGTCACCTTTAAAAATAACAGTGACCAAAACTCAAAATACACCTCAAAATACCCTCAGGTCAAACTTGGTCAAACTTGGTCAAATCCTTGTCAAATTCAACAGTGAACCAAGTCAACTGATATGAGTATGCCCATCGTACTTAGTTTGTAAGCACAACGTACAAGCGCATTTACGAAAAGATGGGCCTTTGACCTTATACGCATAGCGTACGCTAATGTATGCCCAACATTCGCTCTTACCACCTTTTGCATCTATTAAGAGCTTAATATCTTAAGCTCTTTTGTCCAAAATCCATATCTAGTCCTCAAATTATGTCCTTAATCATAAAGTTTCCAACTTTATGATCTTGCATTGCTATTAAGTGGTAAAATCCAAATATCCTATCTTCTTATCTCATTAAGACATCTAAGTCCATGCATGGAGGAAAACTAAGGACCAATATTACATTTTTATGATTCTAAACACTCCAAAATGTATGAACGGACAGCTGAAATGAGTTAGAGTAACCCATACTAAAATACATCAAGCTTATGGAACTAAAATGAATATATTCCATGGCTAATCAAGATCTGAACAAGATTTCGTCAAGATTAGAGCTTTTTACCTCTAACTGGTGCAAAATGATGACAATGTTTCTTAATCCAAAATGCTTCAAGCTTCCAAGATGCTTTCCTTTCCTTCTTCTTCCTTTAAGAACACCAAAACACACACTAATGACTCAAGAAGGCTCTCAAAATGGATTAGGGTTTGCAAGGGTCAATATAAGGGATGGAGGTTGATGAATGAAAGGGTATCAATGCTACAAAGTTGCTTAAATAGTGCACAAACCCTAAATATTATGGTTTGGTTCAGGCCACATATGCCCATCATATGAGAAGTACACCCAGCGTACGTGATGAAACATGTTTCCTCTAAAATACTACAAGGGACCAATTTGGAATCAAATTCACTTACCCAAGGAAAAAATGGAAATACATGAATATCAAGATGTTACAACAAATCTAATAAAAAAAATGGTTCAAAATCGATTGATGTAACCACGAAAATTAATAATATGGTGCAAGTGGTGAAGTACATTGTAGATATCACAAGTTACACTGGCAACTAAATTGGCTCGTGTATGTCAAGGATAATGTGTAAGTGTAAGGATCCCCACATGTTATAACACACAAAGCTTTTTATTCCACCATACCCTTAGCTTAAGAGGGTTAGTTATAGATCGTAGGCTTCAGATATACACCAATGCCATCAATATAATAGCCTGCAAGACCATAAAATCCAGCAAATGATTTATTCTCCCATGGTACGTTGAAAGGTGTCCCTCTAACATTACCATACGGTCCATGGATTTGTTTGGTTGTGATGAATGTGAGTGATGATATTATCGTATGGCCAACATACGTTCCCCTTGAGAGGCCAATCGTTCCATTGATAGCAATAATTTCCTCGTCGGGAGAAAATGTAACCTAAACCAAAATGGAAAAATAAATAACTAATATAATTGAAGTGACTATAGATTCATTGAGTCAAGTTTGCACCTCAGAGACTATGTCTCCACCATTCCAGCCACCAGCCTTGTTAGAAGTTTTCTCTATGCCCTTAATTTTGGTAGTGAACATAAGGGAGTATATAAGATCACCATGATCAATGGTTATCTTCTTCAGATGATGATTTCTCTCAAGTTGAAAAGACCACTTGTTTTGGGGACCTCCAGGGGATTTTGTTCCCCAAATTCCAACTCGTGCAATTTTGTGAGATGAAGTCGTGATGTAGACACCGATTGCATCAATATAGTAGCCTGCAAGGCCATAAAATCCACCAAAACTTCCTCTTACCCATGGTACAGTGAAAGGAGTATTTGTTTTTCGACCAAAAGGTCCATGAGTCTTCTTGTTCGTAACAAAAGATAGTGACGAAATTATTGTATAACCATCATATTCCCCATTTGATACCCCAAGTGTTCCATCAATACCAATTATTTCCTCATCATCTTCAAAAACAACCTGTCCAAGCAAATGGCAAAGTTTAACTATTACCAAGTTCAATAATATAAACATAGGAGCAAACAATGATATTTGTATGTGTCGGGTTGTGAAGAAGCTAGAAGTTTACCTTAGAAAATGTGACGCCGCCATTCCAACCACCAACCATGTGCGCAGTACTGAAAACCCTTTGATTCAGTGGTAAACACAAGAGATTATATTAGATCATCATGATCAACAGTTATGTACCTCAGTTTATGATCTTTTTCAAGTAAGAAAGCCCAACGATTTTGGGGATCTTCATTAGATTTAGTTCCCCATAATCCAACCTTAGAAACTCCGAGAGAAGCCATACAAAACGGAACATACAACATTACAGCTAATATTATCCTCTTGAGCGGCATCTTTAGGTATTGTTCTTTTTCCATTAGAAAGTAACACAATATCTGCCAATTAAAAGTGAAATCAATTAAATTAAGAACAAGAGCTCCTACTGTCCATTAACTTATATTTGTGTCAAGCGAGGCATGCATGCACATATCGAATCACTATTATGTCACGTATATTATTTATTTGGTTTGTTCAAGTTATTATGTTCATATTAAAAAGGTTAATGGATTGATGAGTTTGGATGTGTATTTGACTTTGATAGTTACTAATCAATCGTAAGAAAGTGTCCTAAAAAAAGTATATAATTTGAATGTGTTTGGCACATTATTTGAACCCTCTAATGATTACATTTTTTTCCTTAGACAACTATATTAATTAATTACATAAGAATTACCTTTTATCAATAATTACTAAGTATTATTATACAATAATTTTGTTTTTTTTACCTATAATTATTACTATAATATTTAAGTATTTATGAAATAGTGATGACGATCTTTTTCTTTTATTTTATTTTTTTTAATTTTTTTTATAAACCATAAACCATTTTCTATATAATAGTATTATAATAAATGTAAGGATTGATTAAGTTCAAATCTATAAAATAAAAAATGTTAAATAAAACAGTTTTGCATATTCTTTATATTATTTATATGCAAATAAATTAAAACAAGTTGATTTTTCTCCATAGTGCGTTTATGAATAAAACTACTAGTTAACAAATAGATAGACGAGTAAATAAAATGGATTAGAAGGTTGGAAAATAAAGAATAAATGGATGAAGAAAATCTAGATAGTTAGAACCATACAGTCCAAAAGTGAAAATGATTTAAATTTTGAACATGTTTTTGAGATTACTTTTTAACTTCAAAATCTTTTTTTTTTTTCTTTTTTTGTAAAAATTCTTTTTTGACTTTAGTGCTTTATAGGAAAAAACCAAAATTATTTTTAAAATTGTTTGTCTTAGTATTCTTTGATTTTTGAATGAAATTTATCTTTTAAGTTCTTAAAAATCACTAAAAGACAATATTTTTTGATTTTTGAAAAACCATCATTTTCTTGTTGGTAAAAAGTCAGTAAATGGACTTTTTTAATTTTCAAACTTTTTTTTGAATTTTTATGAAAATTTAAAAAAACCAAAATTTAAGAAATTATTTGAAAACCAATCCAAAACACCTTCTAAAGCAAAAGGTCATCATCCAACTCTCTAATTTAATTAAATAGGCTATAAGATATACAAACATTATTACATATGTTACCGTAAACACTACATAAACACTACAGTGAATGTGATAGGGTAAATGTTTCCCCACACGATTCCCCATCACTTCTTTCTCTCTCTCTCTCTCTCTCTCTCTCTATATATATATATATATATATATATATATATATATATATATATATATATATATATATATATATATATATATATATATATTATAAAAGATGTTATTATTTGTACCCATCAATCACATAAAAATAAAAAAATGAAGAGTAAACACATACTCAAACAAGCACACTGAACAATCTCAAATTAATCGTATGAGGGGAACAGGAAGATAATGTTTTATCTTCAAGAGAATGATATAAAAAATGGGTATAAGCGTATATATATATAACAAAACTGACACAAGCTCAAATCTAAGAAAGAAATAATATATATTCAATTAACGTATAAGTACATTCGTTTGATAGATTAAAAAATCATTATTCGTCAATAATACAAAAAATGATGGTTGCACTATCATATTGATAATAAACAAAAACTGAAATAACATTACGAAGGCTTAACTATAATCTTATATGCACCCATAATAAATGCCGTTCAAAAGAAAAAATAAATGCACCCAGAATAAATATCTCACCTGTAAATACGAGGAAGCTCTGAACCCAACTTCCCCTCCACTGGACACTGGTTGTTGCATCTAATATCGCATGTTTTTTCACATATATGTTATTTATAGGTCAATTGGTCAAAGGGAAGTCGACATGTAAATTATAATATATCATCATGACAACTACATTTGGTGGTGTATGACTGTATGACACATGTACACATGAAACCAATAATTGATGTGTGGAACCAATAATTTATGATAAAAAAACATAGAGGAAGGAATTGGAGGGTGTCTGACTGTCCGTCACATTTTACGTGCTATTTGCGTCATTATTTTTCACTTTCTTTTCATTTCCTAGTTACTCTTTATCATCCAAAAACAACAACTTTTAACTTCATCTTATTGTTTACAAATAGAATTACTACATTAAAAACTACAATTCAATAAATAAATAAAATTAATTAAAAAATGATTAATATACATAAATTAATAAAATAAAAGTATTTCGTTATTTGGAAAAGAGTACATACATGAAAAAAAAAACACAAATTAAAAAAAAAAAAAAGTATCAAAAATTTCATATCTTTGGGGCTTCTTATTCGTCACACATCTTTTGCTTTTCCTCCTAGGCCTTTTCTTTTTCCGACATTTTTTCAAATGTCAAATGTTCGATGAAATTCAAGTCATGTTGCTCAAAGCTTATTATCATTTTCAACATTTCCTTTACTTTGCTGAATCTCGATGCATTTGAACAATACGCCATCCTTTTCGCTTTGTCCTTGCCCATCAAGCCGATAATTTCTTCTAACTTGTGCTCGTCTTCTTCTTTCAAGTCCAATCCGATACGAGCATTGGAAGAAGCTGTATAACTAGTCAATGACGTTTTTGTTTGTTTTTTTGTAGCGACTTTAGCTTCTTTCTTTTGCATAACGTTTCATTTCAAACTATGTGCTAAAACTTTCCAAGGCTCATTCTATTTGAATGTCATTCCATTGTTTTTCTTACGAAACAATTGATACACCTCTTGGAAAATTTCTTCATCGCTCTTTCCACATTTCCTTAGTTTTTTAGGTTGGTGTACAACTCAATTATTCCGCTATGTAACGTTCTTGTTTATATCTCAAAACTTTGTATTCAATTTTTGTTTATTACTATAGTTACAACACCCCAATTATTCGAGAAATCGTTTAGTAATATGTAGAAAAAAATGCTCAATTGATTGTGCATTTCCTTCCTTTGAATCCTCATATATGTTAGACCTATGTTTTTTTCTACACCAACTCTTCCCTCAGAATCCACCCTTGAGGGGTTGCCTTCATTTTAGTGGTTGATGCTTCTTTTCCTTTGTCATGTAGAGGTGTTCGGTTCTCGAAGATGCCTTCGAGTGAGGGGTTGAGTTTTAGGCACGAACTCGTCATACGAATAGTTGAGGGTTTTGGTTTGTGGGTTGTCGGGAGGGGGGGGGGGGCGAGGGGGATTCGACTTTGAGGTTCAAAATGAGGTTGGTTGGTGGAAAATATTCAGGAAAAGTCACGAAGTTATTTATCATTTGTAAAATATGATATAACCATGGAATAATATTGTTGAACATTTAGATATTGAAGTTGTATAAGGAATGAATAGGGTCATCTAATTGGGGATGATAAAATGATTATTAGATCGACACGTCTTGTTCAACGTGAGGCGTGCTATCGGATTTCTGCTAGGTTCTTCAATTTGGATAAACACTTACTTTTTAATATTATCTAAAAATGATTAAAATCTTAATATTAATATTAAATCTAATTCTAAGTATTATTTAGTAATTAGTTAAATTTTAGTATATTTAAGATAAATCTAAATCGAAAAGTCTTTAAATTTTAAATATTATTATATAATATTACTAATTCTAAACTTCTCATTTATTGGCTCATTTTTGTTTTTTGTTTTTTTAATCCGTCTAATTTGGTGGGAATTTTTTTATTTTTAATATATCTGATTCCAACGCCTAATGTAACTAATAAAAATGGGATCTGTGTCACGTGTTACCTCTTCAAACAACCCACCACCAGCTACACCATCTGTTACCTCCTCAAGCCACTACCATATACACTTACATCGATGCTTCCCCCTCTTTAAGTCTCTCTAGAAACCTATGTCTCTCTTCTTCCCATTTGTCTGCTACCGTATCTTACACCGTGATTATATTGTATCACTTATAATCCTCTTCGAGCAAATAAACTTCTAGTTTCTTCTTCCACCAACCCCGACGTATTCCATCGATATCCATTTCGTCTCAAAAATCATTCCTGATTGAAGACTGCATGGTTCTTCCTCTTGCATCATTTATCTACCAATTGCCACCATCGACTTCATTGTCGGCGTCCCCACCGATGATGGTTGTGATGGTTGGGGTCACTATCCATATGCTAATATCAGTTGATAGCCTTATATCTACAAGAATCCCAAACCGACACCCAAAATAATCCCAATCGCTCAAATAACGGTATTTCTTCAAAGTGAAGACATCACCGTTTGCTACGGTTATCGCCGTTTAGGTAAGCTTTCTCTAAGCTTTTAATCACCTTTTCTCTTTGTCTCCTTTTCGTTTGTCTGTAAATCCTTGGTATTTTGGGGGGTTATGATTACCAATATCTGGGTAATTTCCCATCACCTCCGTCATCAATTAGTAGTTGACGGTAATGATCAAGAAAGGGGAGGGGGATAGTCAATGGTTTTTCATTAAGGATGCAGGAAGGATTGGGTAGGAAAAAAATCGATTATTGTCCAAATTCTTCCTCCTTCCTTTCAGGGCAATTAGAAGCATGAATTTGATGCCTCCTACAAGTTACTTACAAGATGCTGTCAAAAATTCTAAGGTTCTATTTCTAGAATGTGGCTTGCTTTTTGAAAATCCCGACATATGTTCAGACCAATATATTGTTAGGGTCGAAGTTATGTTGTAAGATGTCGAACATGTAATCTTATTTTACAAAGGCATTTTATGTCGAAACTGAATGTCTAGTCCTTTGTAATTTTCTGTATGCTTTAATGTTTTCTTATAAATAAGGAAGTTAGTTAGAGTTAGATAATAATTTTGGAGTCAATCTTGTCTAGTTTTCTCTCTGTAACCTTGAAGCATAATATGAGCTAAAACAATATCTTATTAACATTCCGTGTTCATTTCTCGATTCAATACTTAATCAATTGGTATCATAGTAGGAATCATATCTCTGCGATCTGATTTTCATTCTGAATCAAAAGGTTTTTGAATCAATTTTGGATTCAAAAGTTTCCGAACCTTTTGTATTGAAAATTGTTCTTAATCTATAGTTGTGATTCAATTCTGCAACTGATTTCTTGAATCGAGTGTTCTACTTGAAATCTATGATCGTTTCAGTTATTTGCTTTCAAAATTTCTTAAGTTTTTCTGAAAAATCAATCCATACGTTCATGGCTAATTTCAACTTGAACTCAATGACATCCTATTCTCATTTTCTAGGATCTTCAACAAAGATTCCTATGCCCATCCCTGAATACTATGATCAGTGGGCTGTTCATATGCAAGACTATTTGAACGGGATTGATGAGGAGCTTTGGTCATGTATAACTAGAAATGGTATTTGTAACGCCCGGGTTTCAGGGCTAAGCATTTTTGACAATGTAATAGTCTAGGTCAACTCTTGTAACTCTTTTTGAAGCAATAAAGATGAAATATTTTAATTCTATGTGAATTATGTGTATTTGTGTGCTTATTACTTTATTATAAATATATATTTAATAAAGAATAAAAATAAGCGTCAAAATTAAAGTGTGAGATAAGTTCTATATCTCTACATAAATTCGTAGTGGTCGAAACAAGGATTCCGGGGATATAAAGAATGCAAAAATCCGAGTTATAACAAAGAAGTTATGGTTCGCCGAAGTTTCGCGACAGAACCGGCACGATACCAGGAGGCGTAAATAGTGAATTTAGGATAGAACGAGATTTAGCCTTAGCACTCTAAACAAAATTCGTAGAATATGTTAAACTAATAACATCGATAAAAAGAACGCCCAAATCTGACTTCGTATGAAGAAGTTATGATTTTTCGAAGTTTCGGATTAATAGTGCACAACCCGAAACTCGAATTTTAGTTCGAGCGGTTTTTGACTTACGCGACCTAAATGAGAGTTGAAGATCTCATTAATAGGAACTTAACGGTAAAAAGACGGACGAAAACGGAGTCCGTATGAAGGAGTTACGAATTCTTCGCGGTCATTTAACAATCTAAACGCCTCGTACTATTAAAATTGAGATTGGTCGAGAATTAGCCGACGGAGTCTAAATGAAAGTTGTAGATATTGATTTTACCTACGCGTTAAAAAAATATTGTCGAAAACAAATCTCGTATGCGAGAGTTATGATTTTTCTAAATTTGAAGGCTGATACGCGATATTGGGTGACGTGGCGCGATCACAGTCATTGCTTTCTCTCCAAGGAAAGCCATCAGATGATGACATGTGGCACCAACTCGGCGAGTAGGTCCTCCTACTCAGCGAGTCTGTCAGGATTTCACCCTATAAATAGATGTGTCGGGTTTCTCTATTTCTCACACCTTCCAAACACTTCTTTCTCTCTCTAGAACCTCTCTCTAGCCCCCCTTAAGCCCCCTAAAGTCTAGGTAAACCCCCCTAGCACCTGAAGGAAGCCCCAAGGCTCCCGAAGCCCCGAGAAAAGAGCCTTTCGGTTCAGAAACTCTGCTCCGACAGAGCCCGGCTTTTGAGAAAACCCGCTGTAAGTGAGCTATGCCTAACCTATCTTTAGTATAGCTCATGTTTTAATATAGTAACATTATTAGGGCTTTAAAATAATTATTTGGGCTATTATTATGATTTATATAGAGTGTTGTTTAATGCTTATATAATAATAATAATAATAATAATAATAATAATAATAATAATAATAATAATAATAATAATAGCTAGACTATTAATTAGTCACGGTTGACGTTAGACTAAACCCTAGTGGTATTGATACTAGGTTTTATCGAAGGAAAATTGTTTTGAGAGTATCGAAGCATTGTCCGAGAGCAAAATCACCACCTTTTCAGGTGAGTGCATAGTTACTTTCAGCTTACACATAGATATGAAGTATTTTATTTAAATTACGTGCTATGTATGCATATTACCTGAATACTTGCTATCTATGATGGATGAACATTTTATACTTGTTTTCAATGATTTAAAC